GAAAGACCATACGTGCTGGAGCTTTCTGTTAAAATTGTAACTAGCAGTTTGGAGCCTGCATTAAGGAAGACAACATGTGGGCACAAGTGCCCTGGGGTTAGAGCCTTGGTCAACTACCTCAGTTAACTCCCTTCGGAGGCCAGCATGTCCGGTGCCCTATGAATGTGCAAACATGTATATATAGGGATTTAGGAGTGTAGATATGTGTCCCATAAGAAATTCCCCCAATTTCCCATCTCACAAGCCTCTGAATTAGCTCTATCCTTCAGGGGCATGCTCTTTTCCAGATTTACAACCTCAACCACACAACTGCCCAACTTCAAGGGTCCTTTTTTTTTTTTTTTTTAGATTTTATTTATTTATTTGACAGACAGAGATCACAAGTAGGCAGAGAGGCAGGCAGAGAGAGAGAGAGAGAAGCAGGCTCCCCATTGAGCAGAGAAGCCCGATGTGGGGCTCGATCCCAGGACCCTGGGATCATGACCTAAGCCGAAGGTAGAGGCTTTAACCCACTGAGCCACCCAGGCGCCCCCGCCATTTTTTTTTTTAACTAGTCAGCTCATTAGTCAAAGTAACCTATTAATATCATCTGCAAATCATGTTTTTGGAAGAAGCAGAAAGAGAAATTACTATCAGACTTAGAATTCAGATTTTTAGGAGTGCCTAGGTGGCTGAGTCGGTTAAATATCTGACTCTTGATTTCAGCTCAGGTCATGATCTCAGGGTCGTGAGATGGAGCCCTGTGTCGGGTTCTGCGCTGGCCATGGAGCCTGCTTAGATTCTCTCTCTCCTTCTACTTACTATCTCTCACTCTAAAAAAATAAAATAAAAAGAGAAAAATAAAAAATTAAAAAATTTAAAGAATTCTGATTTTTGTTTGACATATACTTTAATCACAAAGTTCCAGGCACGTTATCACATAACAGACATGAATGACGCTTTCCTTTCTGCACACTTAGATCTCTTACCATTCTACTCATACTTGGGCAGAAAAATGAGGCCATGGGCAACTTTAGCTGCAGCTTCAATGGAATGCCCCTTAGATGTTCCAGGTTGAGGAGTCTAATATGCCAATGGGAGTTGACAGTGTTCTATGAGTTGGCATCCCTGCATCCTAGGATACTGTGTGCTTAGGAAGTCCCGGTCTGAAATTTGTCCCTTCTAGGCTACAGGGTCAAGGCTTAGACCTGTTACCACTTATGTGTATATTTATGTTTATTTCTCACTCATATCAGCCTTTACTCCAGTGATTCGGTTTCTCCCCGGTCTATCCCATGTTCAGTCTGTAGTCAGTATGGGCTTTCTACTGTCTGAGGGGGGCTTTCTGTGCACAGCAAAGATGGTTTACAGATATTTGGGTCTTTAATTAATGTTCAGTGTACTGGAGGTGCAAATTCAAAAATCGGATTTTCTTTTACTAGAGATACACATTGAAAAAATAAAAATGTGCTGAAGTTTTTAGATTCAGTTAGCTGTGTTTGTAAATTTAAAAGAATAAAATAAAATAAAAACTGTAACTCTTGGGGGAACTTTGAAAAACATTTGATTAATTCAAATTTAGACTAAAATCCCTCTACTCAAGGATTAGTTCCATTTAGAAACATAGTTAAGCACATTCCCTTAAAAACTTAAGTTGCAGGGCACCTGGGTGGCTCAGTGGGTTAAAGCCTCTGCCTTCGGCTCAGGTCATGATCCCGGGGTCCTGGGATCGAGCTCCGCATGGGGCTCTCTGCTCCGCAAGCAGCTTGTTTCCTTTCTCTCTGCCTGCCTCTCTGCCTACTTGTGATCTCTGTCAAATAAATAAATAAAATCTTAAAAAAAAACCTTAAGTTGCATTAATAAATTTGGTATATTGAATTTTTAAAAAGCTGTTAGTATGTATGACTGGGAAGATTGCAAACAAAATCTTCCAGACGACTAACTCTGGCTTCATTAGTCATCTAATACATGCCAAGTGGTTCTAGCCACTGGAGATGCAGCTATGAACAAAATGGAACAATGAGCAACAATGAATAAAACAGAAAAATTATTTGCCTTCATGGAGTTTATATTCTTATAACTCTTAAGTTCACTAAACTCTTATAAACCTAATAAGCTGAAGTTTTAAATGAGAATTTCAAAGTCAGAATTCTTAATATCTTTCAACTTAAAGTTTACAAGTCTAAAATCAAGTGTGCATTTGAATTAGAATCGCAAAGCAAATATGTATCTAATAAATGTCTATAATCTGATAGTCTCTAATCTGATATGTAAATACCAAGTGTACAAATGATTCTTAAGCCTGATTTTAAAAAGCACTAATACTGTAAACCTGGTTTGCTTTATCATTTCTCCATTTATTTCTAAACTTTTGAGTACTGGACACTGGATTATGTAACTGAGCTTCTGTGAGGTTCCTAACCCAGTTCATAACCCAAATACATGATCATCTCATGTAGGTTAAGAGACTTGAATCTGGTGGGATGCGGGACCTACAGATCGCATACGACCGGAGTGAATGTTTCCATAGGACAGTGGACACACTGAGCCTGATTTTAGCAGTGACTACGGTAACGGGATTCCGCGTCCACTTTTTTCCACACAAGATCGGTTTCATAATATGCTGTTTGCTAGATTCAAGCCTTAACTTCATAACCTTTTTTGACGTTGTCGTCTGATTTGGATGGATAAATTACGTAACTGTCCCTACCTCGCCTACTTGACCATCTGACCCCATTCAGCTGAGCCAGCCCTGTTCTGATTCTGATGTGTCTGGGTCTTTGACCTTGCCTTCAAGGGTACTCTGTTTATGGGCACTAGACAATGCCACTCCCTGCAAGGCCAGCATCCAGAGGTGGCTGAGTGTAGTTTGCTCTCCTCCCCAAAGCTCCATCGACTCACCCCAGTTTTTTCATACACACAGTGAATATTTTCTCAGTTTTCGATCAAGGACGATTCAAGCTTGCTCCCCAGCAAATTCCTGGCTGACACTTTCCTTCAAACAGATTCCCTCTGCTGAGCCCCTTCTATATAGAAATTCTAAAACTATCCCTTGCTTCTTTGCTTAAAACCCTTCAGCCATTCACAATGCACTTGGGATAGACTACAGAGCACTTAATGCAAGTCCTTACAGGATCTGGCTCTCGCCTTCCTCCATGACCTCATCACACGCCTTCTCTTATGCTGCAGTTCCAGCCACACTGGCCTTCTTTAACTTCTTCCAGCAGAAGCTACACTTCTTTCCTACCTCAGGTCCTTTGCATGTGCTACTGTTCCCACTTTCTGAAACACCGTTTTCCCTACTCTTTGCTTGGATGCCTCCTCATCCCAGTCTCAGATGAACTGTCACTTTTTTTAGTGGAAGTTTTTCTTCTTCGTAGAGAGTGTCACACTTTGTGCATTTCTATGCTTACTACCGAGACCATAAGTTGTGTGGGGCTGTGTGTGGTGTTCTGTTTGTCCAGCACGCATCACAGTGCTGGCATATTCTAGATAGTCAGTAATTCTTTGCTGAATGAGTAAATACCACAGTGCCACAGCAGTCACCATTAGCCTTCAGTTATAACTGTAATAATCATTCATATCACCACTTTTGGCTCATGGGAGGTACTGAGTAATTGTATGTTGAATTGGATGGAGCTATCTAAATGTCAGTATCTCGAGCAGTCATTAATACAATTATTTTATATTACCCCTATGTTTCTGGACTCATTTAGTCTTCTATAGCTTCTAATGCAGTAGCCTTTCTGTTCTTACAGTAAAGAAGACATTTTAGCAAAATGTGCCTTTTTGGGGGACTAGCCTTTCCTAACTTTTTAAAAGTGCCACTGACCGTTAGCCAATTGTCTTACAGATAGTACTCAATTTTGTTAAGTGTAAATATAAGTTCTGTATGATACTTAGTGATTTTATTTGTTAGCTTGTTTGTTTACCTCCCAGCATCCCAAGAGATGGATTAGTTCCGCTGGCTCCAGGTGACAGAGCGCAGCCTTAAGACACTGAATGGAAGCTCTAGTTCTAGATTATCTAATGCTTGTGGCTTAAGCCCCGCCCCCTCCGCATAGTTCTTCAAGAACCTTGCAGCGCCCCCCCCCTTCAAACCTCGGAATAGCATCGAATTGCGTTAGAACTCTTGAATTTTAACCATTTAGATCCTTAGAGCCTGCTGTTTTTCTGGGTTTTGCTTTGTTTTTTGTTTTTGTTTTGCTGTATCAGCCTGATAAGATCATAGCCCCATAAAGATTTCATATCCTTGTCTCTGCACCTTGGCAGCTGTGGCTACGAAACTACAGCATTTTAAAAAAATGATTTTGAACGTTGCATCGTTAGTGATTTTTTTTTAAAAGCGCAAAAAAGATAAAACAATGCTGGAAAAGAAAAATGAGGTTTATCTGTGCTGCTTATCACGCCCGGGCATTTTTGGAAATCCAAATGGGGGTATGAGCGTTTTGAAAACAAAAAACAAAAAACAAAAAACGGCAGCGGCCCAGCGTCGTCGGGGTTCGCAGCATTGTGACCGCGCGCCTTTAACTCGGCGTGACCTCGGCGTCCCGGGCCCCGCGCCTCGGCCGGGGCGGCGCATCCCCCCCCCCCCGCCGCCTCCCGCGTCGCGCGCATTGTTGTCCTTTAGCGATTGGTTGCTGGACCCGAAGCAGCTGTGCAGAGCCGGGCGGTGTAAAGAACCTGAATGCAGGTTAGCGGGCGGCTGGTGACTCACACGGGGGATCGAGGGCGAGAGAGGAAGAGCCGGAGGCCGCCACCTCTGCGTCTCCCAGGCGGCGTGGACCAGGTGCCCCGGCGTTTGCGGCTGTCGCAGGGGCCCCCGGTGGCGCCCCCTCCTCTGGCTCTCGCCGGCCTCGAGGTTGGCGCAGGTGGGCCAGGCAGGGCACCGCAGACCTCCCAGTTCCCACCGAGGGGGTTCTCGCTCTCTCCGCGAGGGGGAGGGAGCATCCTAAAAATATGTAAATATCCAGGCGCTGACTCGCGGCCGGGGTACCGGCCCACGGCCCCCGCACCGGCCCACGGCCCCCGCGCCGCCGCAGACTGTTTTACATGAAAAAGAGAAGCCTGCAGCGATCGGTGCTCTAACTTAAGGCAGCTCGGTGATTAGCATGAGACTGGGCGGCTGCCCTGCTTCCTGCCCTTCAAGAGCGGTTCTGCGCGCTCGCGACCGAGCGGCGGTGCCACCGTGCGGGTGTGGATCGGCAGGCACGGCCTCGTTGGCAGCCATGGCTCCCGACGCCCCCTCGGCCAGTAAGTAGGAGCATGCATGTGTAGGGGGGCACACGCGTGTCGACGCGCGCGCGCGCGCGCACACACACACAAGCACGCACACCACCCTGAGCCTCACAAGGAGGAAGATTGACGAGGCGCTGCAGTTGCGAGGACGACTCGGGCTCTTCCTGGATTCCGCAGGAGCCCGCCTGCCGCAGCTGCTGTCTGCAGAGCCGGCTCGGCTCCCCGTGCACACGCGCCCCCCATCCGAGCCTCTGTAATGAAGACTGCCTCCCGAGGACTGCAGGGGAGGCAGAGCCAGCCTGCGCCCGGGACTGCGGGCCGCGCGGCCGAAAGGCCCTGGGGGACACGACCTGGACCCTGTCAGCCCCACGCCTTGCTCTGAGCCGCCGGGTGCCGAGGGCCTGCCGCCTCCCCTCCGGCTTCCCGGGCGCCCGATCCCGGGTCAGCCCCGGAGGCCTCGGCTTCCTCATTTGTTTGGGTCTTTTGTGCCGTGGCTCACAGTTGGCTAAGCACTCCTGCGCTGAATCGGGCCATTGTCTGCGCTCCCATTGCTTTCACGCTGCAAGTCTCGGCGCCCCCACCCCGCCCGCCCCCTCCCCGCCTCCTCCTGGCCGGGGAGCCTCCTAACGTGCCTTTCCCCCCAGGAATCTGGAAGCTATAAGCCGGGCGGATTGCAAATGAAGTGTAATGCATTGTGGGACGTGTGTAAAATCGGAGCCTTCGCCGTGGGGGTGTGTGGGGGCGTGGGGAGGGCCGGACCCGCCGCTGGCGGTGTAGACGCCGACGAGGAGGGGCTGGGAAAATGTGCGCAGAGTCCGCCTGGGTCGTGCCCGCCGTAGACGGATGAAGCAGCGCGCTGCGCCCCGGCGCTGAGGCCCCCGGGATCGGGGCGGCAGGTCGCGCGCTCCCCACCATGAAGAAGACCCGGAGCACAACCTTGCGGCGAGCCTGGCCTAGCTCGGATTTCTCGGACCGGGCCTCGGACCGCATGAGGTCCCGCAGCGAGAAGGACTACCGCCTGCACAAGCGCTTCCCCGCGGCCTTCGCGCCCCAGGCTTCGCGGGGCTACATGACATCAGGTGGGTACCCGCGTTTCTGTCCCCCCTCCCCGGGCCGGGTCCGCGGGGCGCGCTCGGTGCGCCGCCGCTGCCTGGGTGCTTAGGTGGGAGGACGGCCGGTGATGGATGCGCTAAGTTATGGGGAAAGCAGGGAAAAATTAGCTCCCATCCACCATTTTGTACCTCGGCAAGATCCACAGCAGGCCCTCTCAATATGGGGTTGGAGAGCTATTAGTTAGGTAAAATGAGGGAGGGGGCCGTGCCGGGCGTTTTGGCTGCAGGAGATAAATGACTGCAATCTTCTCGCGCGGCAGCCTCCGGGAGCTTTTGTGGCCGCCTGCAGGACCGAGCTGCCGGCTCCTGCCTTGTGGCCAGTTATCCTAGTGGGTATTTCAGCAGCCCCGGGTTCTTAAAAGGGAACAGGTTCCGTGCACGGTTCTGGATGGCCTGAGTCGGGGAAGAGCCCCCACGGACGCCGCTGGCTCGTCCGAGGTGCACGCGGAGAACTCCGTTGGCGCTCATTGAATGCATTCCGTGGGGTCATGGTGTGGATGCGGATGGAACGCTCCCATGATTCGGTGTGGATCTAACATGTGTGGCTTTGAATTAGGCTGTATGGAAAGCATGGAGGCTGTGTTTGCATGTCAGGCAGGAAGGGCGAGCACAACGGTACACGGGAACGAGGGCTTCAGGAAAGGGCTGATCATCGTAAAACGCAGTGCTGTTAAAAGCGTTTCGGAAGGAGTCGGTTCCCTTTTGGCAGTACGACGGAATGGCTTTGGTTGTGACTTGGGAACCCAAGGGATAGCGTACCGGAGGAAATGCTGAAGGAGGAAAATCCTGGAACTCCTTCCTTGTTTTCTCCTTACTGATTGCCGACCACTTGTACGCAGTGATGTAGAAGACATCAATTTCTGTTCGTTCTTCATTTCGAAAGAATTAATTTTCTGCCGAAGGTGATGTGATGGAAGAGCTGAGGCTGTATTGGAAACCACACACTATTCGGAATCATTCTGAGCCCTGTCCTAACTGGCAAGATTGCTTTAAGCTTGTGGTTGGTATTCACAGTGTAGCTCTGCTATCTTTCCCCTAAAACAGTAAGGTTTTTTTTTTTTTTTTTAAACTGGGGCCAGGATCTCATGCTTTAAAAATGTCTTGTGACCACATTTCCATAAATATAAAACCTAAATAAAATAACCATCTTTTTTATTGCAAAATCTGGCAACAGAAGGATGTTGTACTATTTTGGCAATAAGACTCCCTTGATTTTTCTCTTTCATGAAAAGCCAGATTTGCGAAGTGACAAGGACAGTTGATACTTTAGTAATTTCAGTTAAACACTACTGTGGTTGCTACATTCTTCAGACTTGGGATAGTAAATTTTGAAACACACCTAAATTGAAATCTAACGACAAAACACATATGTACATAAACGCATGTCTGCACGAAGTGTTTAGATAATCCCAGGTTTCAAATGCTTGGGTTTGAATGTCTTCATTCCACACTGAATGGCTTCCCTCTTTTTGAATCCCTCTTCAGCAACTAGTACTGACCCCAGGTGTTAGGCTATAGGAGGGCAGGTGGCCATAATTTCTTCAACAAACCTGTGAGTTCTTTAACAATTTCAGGCATATTCCCATGGAGCCTGTTTTTATCTGTCTTTGGCTTAGTTCATTACCAGCACATTTTCATTATTTGCTAAAGTACCTCTCTGCAAGGTCTTTTTGAGGGCTCAGGGAAGAAACTCTTTTAATTTTATTTGATTCTCTTTTTTTCTTTCATTTCTTGACCTGCAGATGGTAAGCTGGTCTTAGAGTGATATTGAAAGATAAGCTGTTTCAGTTTGGTGGTTTTCTATGCCGATTGAACGTTAGGTACCCACAGAGAAAAGAAACACGAGAGATGAGGCAAGAAGAGCTGTCATTCATTCAGCATTTTCTGGAGTGTCCCCTAAGAGCAGAGTGCCTTGCTAGATTCTCATGGGGCCATAGGGTTGGATATAATATGGTTTTTCCCAGGGACAGAAAGCTATCATTTATGCATCATTAGAAATGTTAGCTAGAACATGGAATACAAGATATTGGTGCTAATGGAAGGCAATAGTAAGATAGTAATATTAAGACAGACACTTACAATGAACACTGGGAGAATGGATGAAATCAGTCATGTGCATCTTTTGTGTGTGTGTGTGGGGGGGGTATCTTATCAATTTCCTTTTCAAATATGGCTCTTTTCCAAATCCGAGCCTTGATAGGAATAGAGGGTATATTGAAACATGCAGAGATCATTTACAGGAAGTTCTTCCTCTTAAGAAATGTAAAGGAAATCCACTTGTATCAAGTTAGTGACTCTGGATACAAACAGAGCCTTTGTCACATAAAATGGAATAGAAAATGAAGCAGCTGAGAAACCCATGAGTCTTTTCATATTTCTTCTTTCTGTTTGTCCAGTCATTTGGGATGATGATGACTGGTATTATCACAGTTCATTTTCACTAAGAAGGGCTTTTTTGTTACTGAGTTCAAAGGACAAGATAAGTTACCCAGTTACTTAAGGAACTTAAAATAACTTCAGCTGAGACTCTTTTTAGAAATCCATCCCCCCCCCCCCAACAAATACTCCTAGAAAATATGGGGGGAAATTAATTAATTAACTAATTAATTAATTTTTAGCGTTAGGAAAGGAGAAAGAGAGAGATATCCTTGGAAGTGTTAATAGCTGTTGTTTTGGTCTGGCGTACCTGTCATACAGTAGATACTGGAAGTTTCACTCTGTTTATTAAGGCAGAATTGCAGGCGTTCATAATAGCTTTCTAATGAGACAGCACCATTTCAAACAGCCCTCTCTCCACTCAGAAGTAATTACCAGTTTGAAATGTGATTTATAGCAATAGGCTTGACATTTAGCCTGGGCTTTTTCATATAGCTTCAGGATAAACTACATTGAAACTCAAGAGGTTCGGATAGGCGCATATAAAACTTAAAAAGAGATCCTGTAAGAAGCACGGTTCAATAGAGAATTGTGAAACTTTAAATCTTGAAAACCGCGGCTTTTATGACTATGTAAGCTCCCAATTCATGCTACCAAATCTAAAATAATCCTAAGAATTCACAGGCCTCCTCCTGGCAACCAGCACGTCCCGGGGCCATGGGATGAGCTCATTGTTCATCTTGAATATTAATTTCCCATTGGTAGTTTCTGGACAGAAGGGGGGAAAATCTTGCCTTTTGTTCAAATCAAAATGAATAACTCAATGTGCATTGCATTCTCTGAAGAAGAAAAGAGGTTAGATCAAATGGAGGTGGGATCATTCTTCTGCGTTTTCTAAAACTAGAAATGACTATAGCAATTAACTAGAGATAAAAGTAAACCTCCCTCCCCAAAGAGGGAAATAGCTGTATAATTCGTAGTGCTTTACATATGAAAACATGATCCCAGACCTCCATGGGATAATTTTCAAGGGGCCAAAGCTTTTGTTGGTGAAACTGTTTAGAGCCGTGTCTGTTAATGGTGTGACCAGTGACCTCTTCACACAAATCGGGCTACTGACTCCATTTTCTTCACTGCCTTCTCCCCTAGCCCTGGGTGTTCCATGTGTAATGCCACCAAGTTCGGGGGCGTTCTGTAGATCCGGTTTGGAAAGTAGTTTTTCCATGAGACTGGTTCTCCAGGGCGTGTTCATAAAAGGGGGTTGCTTAACGGGAGATACTTCCAAAGTCATGGCTCTTGCAGACGGATACTTGGCATTTTAAAGAATAGGAAAGCAGACAGTTTTAATATTATGGCTTTAAAGGATTTGGAAAGACAGAGTCATTAGAAAGGCCCAAATAGACATGTTTTAAGAAAATTGAGATCAGGTTTGTCTGCCCATCTCACTAATACCATTGGTGGGGAGGAATGACGAGCCCACCACTTTTGATGAGCATATTTGTTTTCATTTTATAGAAACGAATTCTGGGGCACAGCTGATGGCGTGTCCCAGTTCCTTATGTTCTGTTATTTTAAGAGACGTGAGAGTTTTCTGGGAGGGGAGGATGGAGACTCGAGGTTCTAATCTGGGCCTGCCACCAACCAGCTGTGTCCCCGGCGAGTAACATGACCTCCCTTCCCGTCTGTAACGGGTCCTTCTGGTCCCCACTTCCATTACAGAATTGGGCCCCGTGGTGCCTCTGTAATGAGCCATCACAGGACTTCCGAGCACTCACACAGAAATCGTTAGATATAACCTTTGCCCTTTCTGCTTATTGGAGTCATGTGCTTCCCCGTATGTGGGATATGTGGGCACAGTGCTCATTTTGCAAGAGAATCCTAATTCCCGCCATCCCCCAGCATTGCATTAAATATGCTCAGGGCTTGTCCCGGCAATCAGAGTAATGGGGGTGGGAGATGATGGACGGAGCTCTAATCATATGCAAGTCTTAATAAACAGCATCCTGTCGCCTCCTTTCCCCTCTTTGCAGAGATCCATTTCCAGCCAGCTACTCCAACTGTGTTTTAATTTGAAACTACCTGTGTTGACTCCTTTCATCAGGCCAGTGGAAGTGAGGAATATTTCACTTGGTGGTGAATGACTTTATTCTTTATTTCCCAGGAGAACATGAATGCGCTCACAAAAGGTCACCTCTCTTGGTATTTCAATATCTTTTACACTCTCGTGAACGTTTTTATTTGAAAAAAAAAAAAAAGGAATATGAGTATATTGTATAAAAAGCCTTCACATTTTTATACCTGGAGAGCAATTCTGGCTTAAATTCCCTGTGCCCCAGAGAGTTAGGACAGTTCAGACAATAGCATATTCTTTGGTACACGATTGCTTATGCTCAGTTACAGTTATAACCAAGAAACAAAATCTGGTTAGATCCTCGCTGGTGGCATAACATGCTGACTTTCGAATTTAGGACAGGCTTTTGGAGATCGGTCCTAGAAGCTGCGTGGAGCTTCCTCTGTACGGGATAGAGTAGAGGTTTTCTTAGAGTTCGTAAGAATGTAGTCAGTAGTCAGCTCTAAATTAACCTTAACCG